AAAGCATCGTTTTTTATTTCCCTAGAAGTTTTCTACCCTGCAGAGCAATAGGATTCTCCTTAATAACAGGCCACCAGAACTGATAAATACATGAAGGTCTCCCAAATCCTCTTTGGTTATTTTGAAAAAGTGCCTTAAAGAATTCGTTTACTTTGAGCTGAAAAGCTGCACCCCTGGTAATGAATGCTACTGAAGTCAGGGTAGCAGACTTGGGAGTTTAGTGTTGTAAAAGCAGCTGAAATCTTCCTTTATCACATTTTCATTCAGCCAAGTGTTGCTTGAATCTTGGTTTCCCTCTTCTCCTTTAGCCACTTCATGCTTTTCTTTACTGAGAGCAAGGACAGCTCCCCAGAATCCACTGAGTGAGCAATGAGCTGATAAAAATTCTCTTCATTATGGACAAAAAAATCTGTTTGATCAGTCAACCATGTTAAGAACATAGGTAGTTATAAAACCACTCTGTTCAAAGGAATTATGATTTTTACCCTTAATATTTACTTTTAATATCTCTGAGGATGAGAATGATGGGCAGATGACACAGCTTTAATCAACAGCATTAATCAATCTTGATCTCTCCAGATCATGGAGCAATACTTGGAATAACTTATTAATAATTCGTGGTCTTTGTGGCCGAAATTATGCCAAACTCGAAATTTTATCCTTCAGCTTCCCATGGCTGAAAATACTGTTCCACTCAGCTCTGTAATTGTGTCTGTCATTGCCTTTTCCTGGTAAATCCCTATAATTAGTTTTGGGAGTCAGTCTCCAAAGTGCTGCCCTTTAGTTCTCCATTACAGGGGAGCTTAAAAAGAGACTGTTCTGTCCCTGGAGCCAAACAGGCTTCTGTGTTTTGTTTTGTTTTGTTTGTTTTGTTTTTAAAAGCAAGGAAATAAATTCACTGTTACACTTCATGTTCCAGATCATACCATGAACTTTTTATGAAAGCTTAAAATTACAAAGTGTTGCAAGTTAATACAGTGTGAAGATTTACAGAATTTTAATAGATAAAAATAATAGACAATTTTTATTGAAAATTATTTTGTCCTTTCAGCAAGAACAGTCTCTGTCTTGTTCAGTAGCACCTCCTAGGATGCCTTTGATCCCTTTACAAATATTATTACCTTTATAAATGCATTTCACTAAGACTATGAGAATTGGGATTGCTCAGCCTGGAAAAGAAAAGGCTTTGGAGTGACCTACCTGTGGCCTTCCAGTACCTGAAGGGAGCCTAGAGGAAAGATGGAGAGAGACTGTTATAACAGCATTTTATAACTTTGCTTCATGATACGCCATTTAAGATTGGTGTGCTAACCTTTCAGCCTTCAGGAGTAACTATTTTGGTTTTTTTCTCAGTGCACTGCATGGATAGGATTTTATTCATTTCTAAGAGAGAGATTCAAAACTTGTTTAACTCTTCTCTCCATCTGTGCTCAATCTATGATCCTTGGGTTTATTTTTTTTTAACTTAACTCAGAGGGTGGAAAAATTTTGTATTCATACAATATTTCTGTATGACTTAGGAATTACTATGGTGTGTAATTTCTGAAGTTTCAAATACTGCTTCCCCTTCCCAACAACTGTGAAATACAAAGGAAATTATTTGCATATAAAGACTCTGATCATCCAAACATCATGCTTCTAATGAAACATAAATCAGCTACAAAGAGCTTACTTAGTTTTTCCTAAAGGAAACAAATCAGTCTGAGTTATTTTTCTATGTAATTAACAATGTTTGCTGTTTTAAGTAGAGAGATCAGAGTTGTTCAAAGCGGTTAAGATTAGAGCAACATCAGCAGTTTTTCTGTTTGCTTTACTTTTATTCGTTCTGGCATCAGAGCTAATTTCTAATCAAGTAAATGTGTTTGAAAGTATGATTCAGGGGAGATGATACATTTCTCCATGCTAACTGCCTAAAGCTGGCTTAATAAAAAGGATACTGCACACAATGACATTTTTCTAGTTGGTATAATTATCTCTGCAGCAAGCAAGTGAATAATGTATTTCAGGATGTGCGTTTGGATGACAACAGGCAGATTGAGCACGATAATAAGCCAGGCTGTTCACCAGCAAGCCTTTTTTTCTGGTATATCAGAGGCCTGTGATGACAGTAGAAGTTGCCTTCTGATGACTTTTACTTCTCCTTTTAAAATATCTCATACTTTTAGCAGATACTCCTTTGGCAGAATCAAGAATGGGGCCCATTGTCCCACTGCTGCCTCATTTGCCAATGTCATCTTTTCTGATAGAGCCCCAAGGAGAAGATCCACGTGCAGAAATCCAGACTGCTCCTTCTCTTGTAATATCCAAAGAAAATTTTACTATTTGGGATTGATGATTCAGTCGAAGATTGGTACAGAGCCCACTGAAGCCACTGAGAGTCTGTGCTTGCCAAAATCTACCACTGAGTCCAGTGTGTCTTGGAGCAGGCCCTTCAGAGGCACAGAACCCTCTGGGAAATGGAAAGCAAAACTGATTAAACAACAACTGAACACAACCAGATTTCTGGACCTCCCTCCACAAAAGCTTTGTGGCTTTAGAGCCCGACCCCAAAAAAGCAGGAACATGGATGAGAAAGGTCTTCACTTTTAATCTCATATGACTCAATAGCAATTAGCTCCTGCCTCTGCTTCTGTGGGCCTCCTACACTCCACAGCTGCAGCAGCCAGACCTTGTAGCCTAGAAAAAATTAGACAATTATCTCTGGGAATTTATTTCCCAGCAAGAATATTCACTTCTCACTTCTCCCCAGTACTTCATCACCAAGATGCACAGCTGTTGAAGGACTATCCAGATCTCAGTCCAACCTACTGTCATCTTCAGTAGTTCAGCACTACAAGAGTTTCATGAATGCACGTTTTCCAGATATATCTCCAGTCTGTGTTTCCTCTGGTAATCCCTGCCTGGAATCACAAATTAAGAAATATATACATATAAAAATCCCCCAGTTCATTTAGAATAGTTAGCAAACAGACATTTCTTATAGAAGGAAAAGTTGTCTTTTGGATTTGAAGATAACTGTTTGTCTGGAGGCTTTCACTGCAGTCCTTCCAGCACAGTTGTCTCAGAAAACAAACAACACCTGGGCAGTGGGGGATGCAGGAATGAGGTATTTTTGTACGTTTCACTACCACTGATTTTACTGTGACTCTTGGAGAATCACAAGTTTGCCATCTGCAATGGGACCATTTGGGCAAAATGTGTCTCCTTTTAAGGGAGGGAATAAGTAGCGATGAAATGAGAACCTGATGATCTGCTCAGTTTTCAATCTGCATTTCCTTCTAGAAATCTTGAACTTATCTGTTCTTCAGCTTCCTCATTTCAGAGAATCTCATCTTTCAACAGCCATTTCCATCCAGAATTACTAGTGTTTCATGTACCATCTAGGGTGCTTTGCCTAATGTTTTCAAAACCAGCTGCAAAGTATAAATCTCTGGCACCTCATATTTTTAAATCACTGTATCTGCTTCCCTACCAGTTGTACAAAGTGTTTGAAAAAACCCAGCATTTTCTCTATGGTAGAAAAACATTTTAGTCTCTGCTGAAATCCTCCAGGTTTGTTGATGTTCTGCTCAGCCTTACTGTCTTTTACTATCCTGTGTGATACTTGGATGACAGCCAGGCACATATGAATTGCTCCCACTCATGCTCTCTCTGGCAGTTTTATGTGCCTTTCACTACTTCTAGCAGATATTTTAGGCAACAATTTATTCCTATCATGTTTTTTTTCTGCTTGCTTTCTTTTCCCTTTCTAAAAAGTATTACATCTTTTTTGCCTAGAATTTACTCAGTTTTTTAAGATCCCTGTGGATCAATGGATCAGAGACTGCAAAGACAAAATCGAGGCTTTCTTATTATGCTTGAAGAAGGGAGTAGGAGGCCACAAGGCAGAGTCTTACTGCCTAATTTCAATGCTTTTAGCACACCAAGGGTCAGAGAGTGGGCAGGACTTGGAAGCTGGAAATGCCCATCTTCCCCTTGGGATATCTTGCTCAGTACTTTGGATTCAGCGCAGAGAGGAGGCTCCCAGTGCCTCACACTGGCACATTGTCACATCTGTGCCCCCTCTCAGAGGTCACATTGGTTATTTCTTGACTTAGAGATGCAAGAAACCAGATGCTGGATCTGTGGTGCTCGATTTTCCTCTTGAGTACCACAAATATATGCCAAAAAAGCCATCCATAACCTAACTTCTCTTAGGTATCAGCTTTTTCATTATATTTTCTCCTAAAATTAGAAGAAAGAGCAGGACAAAAGAGGGGGGAAGAGAAATCAAATAATTTTAGGAGCTCTTGTCTAAAGAAGAAAATTAGCATTATGGATTCACGCTGAACCCCTGGAGTCTCCCAGTGAAGAAATTAATTTTCAACCATTTTGAAATTCTTAGTTTCTGTCTTGCTAGAGATCATGTCATTCAGATGGCAATCCTAGGGAATGCTGTGTCACTGGGTTTTGAGAGCATAAAACTGACTCGTGTCCCACTCCCAGCTGCTCTTCATTCATGGCAGCAAAAGTACCTATGGGCATTTTGTGTTGAGTTGTTAATCGGGCCCAAACCTAGAAATGAGCATCACTCAGTCCCAGCTTAAGAGTTGATTAGATCACTGCAAGTCAAGCAGTTTTTACTACAGCATATTGGTGTTTTTAGTGCATAGAAGTTTATAATTTCTTTTAAAAAAATATGGATACAATAATAACCCAAGAAAAAAAAAAAAAACAACTCCACACAGAAATTTAGTTCTCTATTCCAGCAGACCTCTTTAAAATCCCATTTGTCATGTGTTCACCCAGATATAAAATGTGTGTCAAAGCACACACCAGAGGTGAGTATTAACAAGCTTGTCCCCGTCCAACCCTGATCCATTGCATTAAATTTCTAATGATCTGTTTGATGAACTGCGAATCTATGGTGTCTTCAGAGGTTGTTGTGATGCTAATTAATATTATACATATGTCACCTAGTTTGTTGCAATTTTCAACAACTCTCCCCTTTGCCTTTGCAGGTCACACAAATGGACCAGAAGCTGAACCTCATCACGGACATGCTGCATCACCTGGTTTCCCGTCAGCAGGGGGATCAGGGCAGCAACAGATCATCCCAGAGAGCCAACAGCAACATCAGCTCAGAGCTTTTCCACCCCAACAACACTCTGCCCACCTACGAGCAGCTGACAGTCCCGGGAGGGAATGAAGATGACATATCCTGACGTGGTGCCAGCCTGGGTTGGGTTGTTCCTACTTTTCTCCTCTGGACAGGACTGAGTGTTGAGAACCTGGGGGAAATGAAGTTCATCAGCCAACCAAGAAATCGTGCAACTGCTGTATCCACACCACTAGTCTCAAACATGCTCTTCTGAAGTTACCCACAGTAGCCAAAGGATTGCCAGGCTGTCTTCCACTAGGCAAAACTTCCAGAAGCTCCACGTTGATTTTGTTCCTAAACAAATGATCACAACTTATTATTTCTCAAAAAGACCAAAATTATGTCAAGACAGGCAAAATGGCAAGGATTTAGAGCTCCTGTAATAATAATAATGATAATAATAGTAATAATAATATTCTAATAATACTTGAACTTAGATGGAGAAAAAAATGCATTCTGTTTATGAATCTGCAGATAGCAATTTATTTCTACTACTAAGGTTTTTAAAACAAACTAGGATAACTTATGTTGTTTTTATTGTATAAACATACACTAACATTCTAGACAATAACAAACCACATACTGAATGATTTTCTTTTTCTGTTTTCTTTTAGTGTTATTACATAAACAGTTATCAGATAATGACCAGATTTTTAAAATCTGTTTTTCTTCAGGGAGGAACTAATCCTTAATCTGGAACAATACTATTTATAGTGGAAAATGCTATAGATTTTCTAAGATATCGGTTTTTCATGGGTTTTTCAGTAAAGTATTATATAGCAAAAAATCATTCTGCTTTCTAGAAAATTGTTGCCAAAGAATTTGTATATAAATAGAAAACAGTGTTCTGAATGTACTTGTCCTGAGCATTTTAAAAGGAAGGCTTTCTACTTCTTAAATCTATTGGGTTTTAGCTCACAGATGCCACAAATAATACAAGAGGCTGAAATGGCTGGACTTCACTGGTCAAGTGTTTGAGCTGGCCACTCACAGAACATCCATAATCCTTGCAGGAGTCGAGGCTTCAGTTCAGGAAAGCATTTCTAATCCACACAGCACATATGACAATGTTAATGTTTTCATGGATAATGCCTTGAGAAACTCCCCACAAGAGTCAGTTGGTATTGACAAGTGCTGCTCTTTATTTAGAGAATTGAGGGCCTCTGCTACACCCCATGGGGCTGAACCACACTGCCCCACATGATGACTGCAATGAAACCAACAGTGTTGGCTCAGTGTGAGTTCTCACACAACGTGAGCAGGAGTTGGGCTTTGATTACTAAGGCTGAAATTACTAAGGCCTTGGTAGGACTCAGCACCTGAATCCTACCAGTCTTTAAAACTGACAGCCTCAGGAAAAGCTCTTTAGTCCAACGTGCTGCTAGTGGTAGCTCAAACTGCTGGGGAAACAAGATGTAGAGAGATTGATCAGCTCTTGCACTTTGATCATCCTCCACATTCAGTGCACCCTTACTGCAGAGCCTGTACCCCACAGTGGTCTCTCTCTCCTGGGGGATGCCCTAAAGCCTCATCCCTTGGCACAGCAGTTAATATATTACCAGTCTTTTGACCAATATTACCCATCTGAAATACTGATGCATAATGAATGAGATCACAGGGAACCTTCTCATAGGGAACTCCCACATTCTGAGCTTTCTTTCCAACATTTCATCTGTTTGACTTGTACTGCAGAAAAAGCCCTGTATTAAATATCCTGTATTTAACTTTCCAGATTCTGTTACAGTTATCCATCCTCTCTGTTGTACAGTAGATAAATGATAAGGGTGTAGAAATTTACAGGCATAAAGAAGAATTGTATCAGGGCATTATGTTTTGTAGAAATCAAAATTATTCTCATGATTTTGAACATTTTAAAATGAGATTCACTATGTAATTTTCAGGTTATCAATCATCCTGTTAATTTCCTAATAAAATACAGGACAAGAGTGCTATGTCTTTTGGTTATTCTAAAATCCAGACACTTGATATACACAAGAAAGCAGATGGCTTTTCTTTTTTTCTCTCTCTTAGCCCACTGTACGTGTAAATATGCCTTATTTGCAATGCATGACTGTAAGCCTTCTGCTGGTTCTTCACTAGAGAAATGAAAGAAAATGCCAACTTTATCAGCTGGGATGACTGGAGAGAAAGGTGTGTCATGTAGCCCTGGCTGAAAACAGATAGGTCTGTGCATTTCTAGGGGCATTGTTTTAAACAGAAAATGTGTCCATTCCTGTCTGTTTGTTCTCTATACCATACCTTCATTCTCTCTTGACACCTAATCTTGGTGAGAGCAGTCTGGCACAGCAAACACTTAATGCAAAACATCATTTCCCTTTCTTGTCAGTTGGTCTGTAACCATCTGAAAGCCTCCATTGGGACCAGATTCATTGGAATCACTGGATTTTAGGTTGGAATCACAGGTTTTTGAGGCTGATGGCCAGTTGTGAGGTCAGTGCTTCCTCACCCGAGCCCAGCTGATCCTTTCAGAAAGTACAGAGCTCTGAGATCTACTTCAAACCTTATAATCCACCTTGCCCTAAGGAAAAGAAGACCAGGTCCATTTTCCCTGTTGAAGAGGAATGTTATAAAATAAGCCATTCAAATTTGCCATGCAGCTGCCTGGAGCCAGCCAAGGGCTCACCACAGATCTGATCTCCCTGCTTGGAGGACTGACTGGAATTATCTGCCCTGCTGGGGCTTCCTAGCTCAATAACTTCTCCTGGAAGCAGATGCCTCAGCATCTTTCTTGCACAGAGCACTGTAGAACAGCAGCAGTGGGAAGATGAGATGAGCAGTCCAACACTGCAGCAGCCTGAAGTGACCAGCATGCAGTGAGTATGTGTTTCTGCTAAAACCTTTCCTACTGGTGTCACCTGTTCAGCCAAACTGTCCAGAGTGGGGGTCTTTTAAGTGGGTAGGAAATGTTTGTAAGTATCTTGAAGGGGAGCAAAGGAAACTGTAGGGTAGGCCAAACCTTGACTTTAAAACTTTCTGCCCCATTTTTGTGAGCTGTGTTAAAATAAATGCATCTGAAGCTGCAAAAGAAGTCTCTTTCTTAGAGCAGCTCTGTAGCAGTTTGCATTTCAAGACTGGTATTATTTAGGCCTAGAACCTCATCCCTGCTGAAAAAAATAAAGGCTAGTTAAAAAAACAGTCATCTGAAAGAATGTTAGCTGGCTTAGCTTCCCGAGCCTACCAGGGGGATGCCAGATGTACGCCAAATCTGGAAGGTAGGAAGCCAAGAAATAGAGGAGGAGGCAGAACATGCAGCTGCCCAGCTGATGGTGGTGATGAAAGCTTACCCTGCCTCAGCCTGCAGCAGAGGCAGACGATGTGCAGGTTTGCAAAAAGGAAGATCCACGGGAGGTGGAGAGGATTTGTGCAGGGGAGAAGTTTCAGTCCATGAGCAGAAGCTTGGGCTCCTGATCAGGGGACTGTGTTGGGATTCAAAAGACTAGCATCAGCATTAATCTGCAGTGTGACCTCAGGGCGAGTCGTCTCACCTGCTTGGCCACATCTGCTGCCCCCTCTCCTGCACTCAGCCCACTTGTTTGTTTAGACCACAAATTCCTCAGGAAGGGAGGGCCCCTTTCTGTGTGTTTGCTCAGTGCCTACACAAAGGGACCTGCCCTCTGGGGACTGGAGGTACCACTCTCAGATAAATAATTACTCACCCTGGAGTCCTGCTACAGGCAAACCCTTAATTATTCCAAGCCAAAGGAGTTTCAGTTGAAAGTGCCTGATGCCAAACCAGCAGTTAGAGAGGCTGGGTTTTAGGTCCCCTTCGACATAGCATCTTATCCTGATCTCCTGGTCAGGAACCTGGCCATCTCTCATTTTCACTCTTCTGCTTTAAAGCAGGTTCATTTCAAATAACACAATGGGCCACTGCTATGCTCAAATACTAGCTAAGGCAGAAATCTTTGGACGTCAGTGGATTAAACAGACATTTTATTACAGCAAATTAAAGTTTGTTGTTGCTAGCAGATGCCCCTGAGCTGATTTAGCACCCCTCAGTTCTGAGGAAGCTGGAAATATTCCAGGCTGGTGATCTTCAAAGGTCTGGGCAAGAAACAAACTGCTTTTTTGAAAAATGAAAAAGTAAAACACAGGAAGATCTTCTTTTCTGGGAGTTTAAAAGAGAAAAGGTTAAAATAGCTTTAAGCTAATCCTCATTAGCTTTAAACTAATCCTTTTGCTGCTGGGATGGTGGTTTGGGAGGAGGAGAGGCATTGGGAAGAAAAGGAAAAAGATTGAAGGTATGATGCAGCTCCCATGAAAATGTACTTGTGCACTTGATTTATATTGGCTTGGACTTGGGTATAGTCTGCAGTGGGATTTCTCAGTCCATGCAGGTCAGTGTAAGCCTTTGGGAGCTGAAAATGTGCAGTAAAGATGCCTTTCCACGGCCTTTCACAGAAGCTGGGCTCAGCTCTGTAGGCAGCATTGCTTTCTTCATGGTCACAGTGCCAAAGAACCTTGCAAATTCACAAGTTTCTGCTTCCCATTTCTGTCCTCAAATCATTGGTTTCTAATATTCCTGCATGCCACTTGTGTTTTCAAGCCACAACGATTAGAGGCATTTCCTTCCACTTCAGCAAAATGAATCCTACTGCACACACACACAACACAAAGCAGCCTTTAAAATTACCTCCAATTTCATTTAAAATAGCTGCTGTAATGTTTTGCATCTTGGGTCTCCTGAGCAGTGGCAGCAGCTGTGAGGAAGGAAGCAGGTTCTTATGCCAGTACGATGTGGAGGTGATACAGCTACATCCCAAGATACAGCTGTGGAATTGCCAGAAGGTGTTGAGTTCAGGTTGAAACTAGCAAGGATTTCTATGAACACTGGCTTTTTTTGGTCTTGTCTGTGGTCTGACTTTGATGTCTAAGTGTGAATTTCGGCTGAAGCTTTTCTTTTGTGGCTGCAGGTTTGTTTTTTGTGTCGTTCCCCTAATGCCAAACAAGATGTGCGTTCATGTTCAGCCTTTCCTCAGTGAGGATGCTGACAACACCAGGACCCTCTGTCTTCTACATCAGAGCCTATGTTACAAAACTTATGAGAACTTAATTATTTTCTAGATCTCTACCCTTCTGTCAAGTTGAATTGAACAAGGCCAACAGGTTCAAAAGTTATTAGGGGAGGCAAAACAAACACAGCATGAGTGCATTAACCTTGTTTTCACAGGAACTGGGCTGAAAGTCCTCTCTCTCCCTACCCAAACACAGAGGTCTGGAAGAAATGTAACCCCTCACTTTGGAGTAGAAGACCACTTCTAACTCCTGGGGTGAAGAGGAGACATGCAGGAGACGTGTTGCAGGAGTTGTTGGCTCCTGATGCACCTTGCCTTTGGATCAGCTATTGAAAGATGCTGGAAAATAGCTTTTTCCTCACACTGCTTCCAATGACAGTGACTTAAAAGATCAAAATGCTCAGTGCTGCAACAAAGAACACGCAGGTGCTGGATGGGGCACATTATGAGCCATGCCCATGTGTGCTGCTGTAACGTAGCACAGCGTCCAAATTGTCTGCACCGAGGGCAGGGGAGCACTGCTGGGGAAGGGCTGGCCCCAAAAAGTGGCATTGTCCAAGTTCACATGGCTCCTGCGTGAGCTGGCAACTGCTGCCTCTGGGAGAGACTTCCCGGGGATCTGACATGAGGCATTGTGCTCTCTGCCTGTGCATTTGCACCTAAGAAGAGCTGGTCTATAAAGCCAGTCTTGAAGCCATCTAGGAGCTCCGTTTGCGTCAGAGCTAGCGTTGCTCTGGCAGGCTGCCCAGGGATTTAGGCTCGGTTAATCCAAGCTTGGCTCTCCAGGGCAGACACCCATGGAACAAAGGGAATAAAGCTTCCACGACCCCATCGAGCTGCTGGTCAATCTCTCAGCCAGGTGCAGAAAGTGGGCAAGGGAGCCTTCTGTGAACTCTCTTGGATCAGAGAGGGCCAAATTCCCAGCAGGAGTGTGTAGACAAATCTATAGAGATTTTCTTGCTATAATTTCCCAAGTCTGGGAGCCTCGCACACTGAAACCCCCATGCCTGTGCATTTCACACAATCTTTAAAGCCAGCTGTGCTGAAATTCATCACTGCTGCTTTTTGTGCAGGCAATCTTACAGGGAAATAAAAAAACAAGAATGCAAGGAGGAAAATAAATTCCGTTTTCAGTTCTGCTATATGTTAGGTCCTTAGGATTATATTAATCATTAATTTTTAAGCATCAATATGCTAGAGTTGATGCAAGCAGTACCAGTGCTGTAAAACTGATAATCACATGTGAAGGATTAGGGTTACAAGCAGTTTGTGAGATGCTATCATCTGTTGTTTAAGCATTACCTAATAATTTTTTACTCCTAACGGTTGCCTAATTGGACTTTTAACGTCTATACATGGAACCTAAAAGTAAATGTGATTCATGTTTTACTCCTTTTGCATCCTTGGCTGTAATGCTGCTTTTAAGTTTGCTTTGATTATGTCCCGTGTCCTAATTCCTTCTGTTCATTGAAACATTGTACGCAGGTTTGATTGGCAGAGGGATTCATGCCCTTCAGATCACTTTTGGGAGCTATCAGGTAAGAGTTACCCCCATGAGGACTGGTAGCAACTACACTAGGAAGTCTTCTGCAAGCCACAATGTCTTTTTAATCATAATTTGTCCTGTAAAGCTTGAACGACAGAAGATGTGCCTCCCTTGCTGAATCCCTCCTCTTCCTGTGCTGCAG